GAACTTCGGAAGTAATTCAATTGATAAAGATAGAAAATAAGAAAGGACAGAGAGTCCCACCCAGAAAAAACGCCAACCTGCAAATCTGCTGACGCTTTTTTTTTGGATGATGGGGGAAACCTTAAAAAGGCGCCTAGCTTTTTGGGGAGAAAGACTAGGAAGTGTAGGATTCGTACCTCACTAAAACCACCCCGCCGGTGGCCACCCTCAGCACCTGTAAGGGGCACCAGGTCCTCTGAAGAAACACCTGTTACAGTAAATCCCTAGGGAGACGTGTGTGTCCCTTAATCATCGCTTTGTACGGCAGCTGGTGACCACTGTGCTACCGTCTTCCCTGAAGCCACTGGATGGGTACCTGTAGTCCCCACTCTATGCACCCGCGGCCCCGAAGGTCCACCTGCAGTTCATACAAGCGGGATTGCGGTGTGTTAGGTGTCAAGGCGGTTGCCTCCCAATCCCTGTCTTAACGTCGTTAGACATAAGAAAGCTGTTTCATAAATCCTAAGTTGTTTATGGACACAAGCTCTAAGGTTACATTGAGATTTGGTGGAAGTGTGAAAAAAGTCCCAAAATAATACGTAACCAAAGTCTTTACAATTAACGCTCTAATTCTTATGTTAAATATCTATATTAGCATTTAAAATAAGTAATATTTTTTGAACTGAAACTACATGGAATTGGAGTCAAAATATTTATTTTAAAAGATTGTATTCTGTTAAAATAAGAGTTGGAGAAACTCTTGCTGTCTGCTTAAAATCATGGCCATGAATGAAGAATAGCTGATATCTAAATCTAAGTAGATTAAGCTAAATGTAAGTAGGTAGTATAAGTAGACTACTTACATTTGGCTTGCTCAGACAATGATTTACAACTTCAATTTAGATACGTATGCTATTTTTTCTGACTTATTAATAATTATTCCTTATGACGTAAACCTGCTAATTTTTACCTTAATTTTTTTTTCTTGACTTATATTTTATTTGTCAATTAACTTTAAATGGCGATCTATTTATTATATGACTGTATAAACTATAAACAACATTATGTACCCGTATTTGTGCAAATAAATAATTTGAATTTGAATTTCAATCGGTAAAAAAATCAGGTTTACATATTCAGTAAATAGCTTCACTTTTAATTTTATTCTTGACGTTCAAAAGTGCCTTTCTGGTCTAATTGAAATAAATGATTTTGACTTTGACTTTGACTTCACTCTGAATACAACTATTCAACACATAGCACCTAATATGTAATTTATAGTCTAATCTCAAAGGTATGATTATATACAAATATTGAAAGACAAAAGTATTTTAGCAGACTAAAAACAGGCTGATAACTGGTATACAGTTAAATGAATGTACTTATTCGGGAATTTAAACAAGATATTTATTGTAATCTCGTGAACCATCCTATGATTACTTCATAGGATGGTTCAATATTAATTGCCCATAATGATGATTACAAATACCTAAGGTTATTGCATACATGTTTCGTCTTTGTTTATTTAATTTGTTACATATATGAAAGTTCAAAGAGATCATAAAAATCCCAACCAATTAAACACGTTTTTAATAACAATCTTTAATGTTATGTTATTATGAATGTGATTATGACAATGTTTTGATAAAAGTTCAAAGAGGACATGAAAAACCCCACGCAAAAAAAGATTTTGTAAAATGTAATTTAGCATTTATGAACTACTAGTCTGCCCAGCTTCGCTTGACTGCTATTTTCCGATGAATGTATCCAATCTTACTTTTATACAAACTTTGTGTTGTAAACGGTAACGAATACGACAAAAAAATAATTATCTAATTCGATGCAGTCATTCGACAGTTATAGGTACGTATTGGTGATTCATTTTTTAAAATATAAATTTAGACAAGTGAAACAAGTGAATTTATTTCTGCAAATAGGCTACATCGGTCGACATTAAATCATACAAGTAGCTTATGAATACAGCAGTTATCACACTAATGCTAGAACGAATTTTTGGTCTGGCTTGACTTATAATGAATTTCGTTAAAAATATGTCAAACTTACGAAAGTGAGAGTGAGTTAAAAATTACAAAAGATGTATTTTTTATCTCGACATCGATTCTGAGTCTGAGCTGTAGACTCATAGATAAGAAGTAGTTCTCTTCAAATTGGTGATTAGTGGTCATGTCGATAGGTCCATTGCACCGTGGTGGCTCCGGAGCAGGTCTCCTGCTGAGGGTGCCCACCGGGGTGGTTTTAGTGAGGTAAGAATCCTACACTCTTTAGTATTTTTCCCCACCAAAAGCTAGGCGCCTTTTAGAGGTTTGACCCCACATCAAAAAAAGGTCCCTAAAGGTCCATATGTAACAAAAAATTTAACAGGAATGTTAAGTAACATTTTTGATTATTTCATTAATTTATTTATTAACTCTTTAATGCACACAAAAGTAAGGTACATACGACAGACTTAATGCCGTAATTATCATCTGATTCCTTTAAAATATTCTTAAAAATAAACCTTAAGTTAAATATGACATTACAAAATTACTAACGTGTCCAATAATTTTTCCTTCAATAATTGTCAGATTTCATGAAATCGTCATCAACAAACAAGCCTTGACTGTCCTCTGTGTGATTATGAGGCTCTGTCTAACTCGGGCAATAACAACCTAACCAACAATCACAATACTTTGGCAGGGTTAGAGATTGCCGTTTAAAGATTCAGTGAAGAGAGAGCGCTGCTTACTGATCTATGTCAAATGTGTAGTCCCTACTCATCCGGGATGCCAGAGCCGACTGTGAAAAATTTATTTGATTTTGCCATCATTACACGATTTCAACGGTGGACGGTACGACTAAAACATATTTTATAATAATAAAAGATGTTTTTTATCGTATATGTGTATGATAACGTATGTAACAATAAAAAATGTAGGAAAAATACTAATGTTTACTACGTGTATAACCCCCAACACATGTACTTACTACTTTGTGGAAATTTCCTATACTTCCCGAACTTAGTTTTTTGTAAGATCATTGACACCTAGGAGTATAATTTCTTTATGCCAATAACGTCGGAATTACCTACGATCCCACATCATAAATCGTTTCGCGAGATTTGTGATTGTCAAGACTCCGCACTCGGCTCATTATTTGATACCTAGCAACGACACTTTTACTGTAATAAATCACCTAGTTTCACTATTATAACTTATACTCCAACGCAAGGGGAAAATATAACTTGATTCGAACCCGCAGTTATTTTAACTTGTATGAATGACTGAATCTGACAATTAAATAAAAACACGTTTTTGGCCATTCTCCGATTAGCTAGTTTACGTGTCGCGGCTTGCTGTATATTAATGTATTAAATCGTAATTTTATATGTTAGATAATATACAGTATCTACCTAGCTGTAAATAAAAATATTGGCTTCTGTCTTATATAGTTGAGATGAGACTAAATTAATTTACTCTATGTTTATAGAACCTCTGATCTCTAATTTCCGTGGTGTGCTTAGTTGTCTAGTTGGTGAGCACCGTAATGTTAAAAAAGACTTCTAATGTTTATAACGTACAGCTACAATTTTATTTCAAATTTCATTTCAATTAAAGAACTAGGATTTTTAGGGGGGGAGGGGGGGATCATCGAATTACTTCTCCCACCTGGGTGAGGCGGGAGGGAATGTCAGACTCTTACTTAAGTAGTACCTAACTATTAAGTAATCTGTGCTCTTACTAACTAAAAACCACCCCGTTCCTTCTCCTGCAATTCGAGCCGGAGCCCCGGTAACCCGTAAGGTTGTCCGCGACGGCATCAGCCCTATTAGGCCCCATCCGTGGTGGTCTGATGGCTCTTTGAGCCGCGGGCGGAACACGACGCGCCGTACGCCCGGGTCTGGCTGGTCGGGCAGCGAGCCACCCATACTCGCCGTCCGCAGGCCAGAAAGAAGTAGGATAGAAATATAAAGATAGTCTATAATAACACATGGAGTGGTTTTTGTCCAAGCTGTAGAAAATTATATTTTACGAAGTTGATATTTTCCAATCACAGTTACATTCAATATTAATTATTTCTTAATTACTTACCTTTGTCATAAAACTTACAAGGCTCATTAACTGGAAACCACTATAAATTGTTAAGTACCTCATTCATTTTATGTCTTTTTTAACACTAAACTAGGCAGAGTGCTAGTCCACACTAGTATGGACAGTACCTAATACTAGGTCATTAAGTGTTCATAATCTGTTTGCTATTCCAATGATTTTAAGTAAAATAAAATAATTATTATACATCTACCTTTGATTTCTTTTATATCTAAATGTGTTTAAGTGTAATCAGTGAAAAACAAAAAAAGTTACGGGAATTAGGCAAAGATCGCCGAATTGAAGAATGTCCGTTTTCCTGGCAACATGTAATTACCATCAACGTCATTGAATGTAAGTTGAGTGAGACGAGACGTCGGCATCATTATAATAGTAATGTGACCTTACTCTTTCACTATAAAATATTTAACCAACCTCTAGCCCAGACGTTTTCTTTATTTTGCGTGTAATTATCTATGAATGGCGGTATGCGAATGTGAGTGCGCATGCAGACGTTGATGAGCACGGGAACATTTTTTACTGTAAATACATAGCGGTTTAAAATTATAGTTTTCTAAGTTCTGTGGTTAATAAGTAACAAAATTTTCTTAAAAAAGTCTAAGATTTTGTATTTCAGAATCGAAAACATTTTTTCTTTCTACATTGTAGTAATAAATAAATGAACATAACTGTGTCTATAACGTTAAAATTATGTTAAATAGGTACCTATTGGATAACTTAACTAGAATACTTTAGACGTTAATAGGACAATGAAATATCACGAGTATTTATTTACAGATAAAGACAACATAAACAAATTTAAACTATCAGCTTATCAGCACATTTCGTACGAATTCATACCAATACAAATAAAATATTACAAACAGATACAAGGAATTTAACAAATCGGTTTTATAATCTGCATTCGAAACACATGTGCCTGTGTGGTCACAGGTTCAAAATCAACGAGTATCAGAGGGAGTGCCGAGGCGAGCGGTCGTGCTGCGGCGAGCGCTCGAGTCTACCGTGTAAATAAAACACGCCATCCACAGGTACTTGTGCGCTCTAATAACCTACCTAGTAACTAAACCACTGGCGAACGATTGTGCCTCGCTCCTCGGGGTCAAGACAGTTCACTGCCAGCACAGCTAGCCCACGAGGGTCATTGCCGCTACATCCAGCATACATCAGGTACACGTATATTTATTTGCATGCCGTCTGTGTTCCGATCATCCGACAAGAAATGTATGATTGATTGACAATGCACTCACGTTCGCGCCCGACCGACCCATAATCTTGCACACTCTAGTCTAGATCACAGTGATCAGTAGTGAGGACGACGGTCACGAGTTTACACATGGCAAATTATCAAAATGATATAATAAATATGTGTACAACTAACATTTAAATGTTATAAAACTTTTCGCAACCAGATTGCGAAAGGTCAAATCTTGGTTATTATAATGATGACCTCTAAACAATAACATGAGTTAAAACATTTTAATGATGAAAGTGAAATGTTAAAAGATTAAAAATAGGTATAAATTGTTAGTTAGAGTAACTTGAAGTAACGTTAAAATTGTAACGGAACTATTTGTTGTACACATACAACATACCCTGCATACTTTTCATAGATTAGTTATGTGTTACAAAAACTTTACATTAACATTATTATAATAACAACAAAATGGATTTTAGCAAAAATATTCAAAACATTTATACAGTCTGTGAGAATATAAATTTTCTGGCAAAGCAGGTATTTGTTTCAATATTATTTTAGTCATTTTTTAGATAACGTGTATAAAGCAAATATTAAAGACTTCTTTGGCATGAACAATGAATTGTATAAAATAGTAACTAAAAACAAATAAACTGTTAAATATTTAACAAATAATGTCTTTGTTAATTAATGGACAGTATTCGTTTTAGTTTTTAAATTTTACTTTTAGTTTTAGCAAAATTATTTACGATTCAAAACAGGCAATTGAACGTTCACCAAGGTATACCATCTTATAGGAAACAGGATCTGCATTAAACTGTCAAACACCAAGCGGTCACCGGTGACCGCAACCTATTGTTCTATAATTGTGTCTACAAAACCGGTACTCGACGAGTTAAAGTGATTTGAATTTGAATTTGGAAGTTGAGCAATGCATTAAAGATGTACAATAAATAAATAATTACCTAATTGTACAATAATAATTGGCAAATACTGAAAAGTGGGTGTTCATTGTACAATGGCATTAAGTGGCGTAATGTGCACCTCTGCCTACCCTTTGTTGGGATAAATGTTATGTTATTAATTGGTACAATAATTAATTTCATTTATTGGATAATTAGATGATATACTTGTAGACTTATAATAAAACGTATATTCTGTAGTCTAAACAAAGTGACTGTATTTTAGATTAATTAAAGTATTATTTTATGTCCATAAACAAAGGTATTGTATGTTTATCCTTAATGAATAATAATAAAGCGACTACACTTTACACAGCTGTATACAATTGGAACTATTTTTATTTGTTGAAAGTCATAGCATAACTATACTTATTGATTTAATAAACACTCATTTAACTTTTGTATACAAACTAAATATTTTACAGATATATAGGTATGAACTCATATTAAATGACCTATTTCTAAGTTTTAGTCTACAAAGTTTCTTTGGTCTCATTTCATTCCTACCCAGCTAGGACTGTTTTCGTCTCCAACCTTATATCGTCCTTCATATTTCTGAGTTCAATCTGAGGTGTTGTCTCAGTAGTGAAGCAATTAATCCAACTAGGAATGAGAAAGTAACTTTCTCATCACAGCTGGAACTGATATCTGGTTAAGACGCATTCTATATTTTTTGTTGTAATTGATTTGAACTGCAGACGAGAACAGGAAATTATTTTATACTACATACATCTACTGAGCATCATTTATCCGTGTTTGACTGTTTGCTTTTATGAGCAAAATCAAGTTGTATTTTTTTTAATTTTGTTTGCTTTGCTCATACCGATAACTACACAAATATTTAGGTAGGTATCGCATTATAATAATCTCTTCTTTTAACCAATATGTATTATTGATAATAGGTTTGAATTGATGAAATAAAACTTACGTACACTTATCAACTAGCAGAGGTGTTTATTGTAATACTTTAGGAGATATGTGTTGCCTGAAGGTGTAAGCAGGTCAGAATAAAGGCGAGATGTAAACATCTGCAGTGAGGGTTGGTTAGCCACTTAATAAAATCGCTGCATGAGAAATATAGATTGATTTTTGTTATTCCAACAAACCTTTATGTCTGCCCCATACATTATTTCCATAACATATTTTTTTGTTTGACTGCCTCGTTGACTGAGTGGTCGCAAGTGCGACTTCTGGGGTTTCGGGTTCGATACCCGGATAAAGTATTACGAAGTAATAGTACGGAGTCTGGAATTGTGTAAATGGCAATAGCCTCATCCCTTATTACATAGGACTCATAACATAAATTGTGAAAAGTGGGTGTTACATTGTACAGTGGCATTAAGTGCTGTAATGTGCCCATCTGCATACCCTTTCCGGGATAAAAAGGCATGTCATGTTATGTTTATTTTGTTAATACTTAGTGTACCTATTTTAGGTATTTTTTATAGTTGCATCGGCTATTTCATAGTCGTATTTGTTTTCTGCTTGAAAAACAAATCATTTCATTTTTATATTTTGTGAAAACAGATGCAGATAACAGATATCATCAATTTAATTAAATATAACCTTTTTTGCAACCTTCTCAAGTTAAGAGGTTATGGGTATATTTAAACTTCTTTTACACGACCTACATACATAGATCAGTCAGATGATAATGTCATACCATTGACATATACGGCTGTTGTTGTCTATAAGACAAAGGTGTATCAGGATTCAGGATACAATTAATATAAAATATCATGTTTCTGACTCAATTAATGTTTCCTAAACCCCAATAGTCGATAAACTAAAATGTTCATCGGATTTGTGTGTGTGTTGTGGACAGGTAGCTGGTCCTCTCGTTAAAAGTAATAATAAGCAAAACTTGATTTTGGACGAGTAAAATACATAAACCACGTCTTTATTATTATATCATTTACGATACAACCCCATACCTACATGAGACAAATATTGTACCACATTGAGAAGTATCAGTACTCCAAGGAGGCCTTAAAAATATAAATATAACATTTATAATAAAGTTAACTTACTTTTCAGGATAGTCATGATGGGACGAGCCTTATTGATAGCAACATCACTATGCGTCATTGTGAGCAGCTATTTAAGCGCAGAAGCCTTCGATACGTTTGAACCAAGTGTCATTCAGATAGGACCTGAACCAGGGTCTGGCTCAAAGGTAAACAAATTAAAACATACGTTTTACTTGTTTATAAGATACCTTTAAAGAATGAAATATTTGTTATACCAGTCCGTTATAATGGTCTAATAAATACTGAACTTTATCGGTAAAACGAGGTGAATAGGGATCGAGAGGTAAATAGAAACAGAAAAAGGGTAAGTGGGTATACTAGTTTTTTTATATCACGAGCGCAGGTGAGCCATAGTTGTAGTTGCAGTGCGTATAGACACGCGCGCTTGTGTGCGTAACTCGCACCAAGCTCATACATTGGCATGCCGGCAGAAATTGGGCGTTCCCGAACGTACGCAAACAAAGACAATCTGCGTGTACATTTACCCACACAAGTATGGCGCACCCGCGTTCGTGAAATAAAACATCTATATAGGGAAATTCTTCATAGTACCTATCCTTCTGTTCTATCTCTATCTCTATTTACTCCGTTTTACGGAATCTAAGAAAAAGAATATATATTCTCCGGGCATGTGGCCTAACAAAACTAAGTGTGCACTACATAAGAGGTTAATGTGTCAATGTCACGCTACTTGACCTGCCGAAGAAGTTATACTTAATTAATCTTATCCCAGTAGTATGATCTCACATTAATGAAAAGAAAACTAAAAGTCCTTTTATTTTTGAGTAAAACTATCGAATACAATAATCATAATACAAATTGAAAATTATTGAAAATGAAGGTACCATCTTCAGAAGTTATTTATCTCAAACAAAGTAGGGACTGTACAACCAACTGGCAGACAGGTGAAAGAAGGATTTCTAATAGCCCAACAAAGTATGTAGACAATAACGTAACTTAATGTAGGTATTCTATTATATTTCTATGTATCGTATATACATAGAAATAAAATAGAAGTTCCAAACATTTTTGTTCTTTGATTATTTTTACTGAACTTCATAAATTGTGCATTTTCGTTACAAAAATTCATTTTACAAACAAATAATAAGATCAAAATATATAGATTTTATTGTAATGCAACGCCTGATTAAAATTGATCAGTGTACCTATCACTTTTTGATATAAAACATGTATGTGAGTATGAATGAGTGTAGCCGATAAATGCTAACTTCGAAATAATACAATCCCTTTTAAGAGTGTAACATAGCCATTTGACGTAGGTATAGTTTATGTATGGTAAACTGAAAAACAATTACACGAATTTTCATACATTTTAATCAGAGAAAATCACGAAGACCATGAGAAAATCATTCATTTACAGAAACGGTGATAATTCAAAACCGAATAGTACCTTATTAATAATAATATTTAATTGCAATGAAATTGGATCTACTAGCAATGAATATAACAGCGTTATAACTAATGATAATGGACAACAAACATGTGGTGTTCGCTATATTAAATATCTGAAAGTGCTATCGGAGAAATTAATTAGGTAATAAGCTACACAACAGTCTACATTAATTATGAACTAAATTAAATTATAGTACGGTTCACCAAACCTTCTGGTAGGTGCTTTGCATGAATTCTTTAGATTAAGCCAAAATTCAGCCATCGCATGTACTTGAAATGTACATAAGAACTGTCCTTTTCATTCATTGCCACACTAAACAAAGTCTATTAATTTATTATTTCTGCTAATTCTACTAAGGGTTAGTTTTGAAGTCGTGTGTAGGTTATTCACATGTTATTCAATATTTACTCCATATGACAGTAATTTCTATGTAGTTTGTGATACAAAACATTTAAGTATGTAAGTGAAACTCATCGTTAAGTATGATCGTGATGTAGACCAACATGTGTGTAGATTTTATCAAAATGTCCGTAAGTGTTTTTCTTCATAGCGACAAAAGCAAAAGATTAGATAGATCTAAAAACATTTTATAATGTATCAACATTTGTTAAGTCACTAACCAGTACTTAAATCTACCAAGGTTAGAGTAGTTTACTAAGAAAAATATGGTCAGTACAGTATGTCTGTAACGTAAATATACGTGAAATCCTTTGTAATCATCATCCCATTAAGAATGAACAATGATGTTCCATAATACAACTTACACAGCCAGTAACTACGATAATTATATGTTAGATACTACTTGAATAAAATTATTTTTATTGACGTGTTATATTTAGAACAAAAGAATATAATCACAAGTAACACACTACACAAGCAATTAATATGATGCTTCACTAATTAGAGGCCAGACCTCTGATTAGCCAACCATCGAATAAATTGCCCACACACCTGAACAAACCTTCAGAACAAATTAGAACAACAAATTACGCGTCAAAAAATTAAACGCCTCAACGTTTAATTATAATTTATCGGACAGATGACGTTAATAAAGAAGTAATACTATAAAAGTTATAAAATGAAATAATGAGTATTCTTGTAAACAGATTTCAGAATACTGCCTAGTAACCACATCTATTCATGGAATACATACTCGCATTGACAAATATGCAACCCCGATTTTTTAAGGGAGAGTTTTTTTTTATTTTTTTTTATTTTTGCCCCACACTAGGATTTTCTCCTGTGTCGTGGGTGCAGTTGAGAACGATTGTTTTTAAAATAATTAAAATTACAGAAAAGTGAATTCAATAGAGGTAGTTATTGATTTCTTTAATGATAGTAAATGTTATGTTCTGATTAACTCGTCGAGTACCGGTTTTGTAGACACAATTATAGAACAATAGGTTGCGGTCACCGGTGACCGCTTGGTGTTTGACAGTTTAAAATGTCTCAAGTAGAGAATATTCAACTTGTCATTATGAGAAAAATATTAATGTTTGTTATTTGACTACTATTTTGATGTCTAATTTGACCAGACTAGCAACTAATAACAAACGTGTGCTGCAACTCGCGCATAAAGTATGCAGTCATGTCAAGTCTATGCAAAATAAAGCCATAAGCCATGATTGGTCCAAATTTTTAAGTCAATATTCCCATTTACATTCGCGAAGATCATCATACGCGTTCGCATTTTGATGAATTTTGACCTTACTTCGCATATTTAAGGTTGTATAACTAAATATCACTAAGAATTTTAGTGAATGTAAACATTGTATTATATACGTAAGTATCTGTTAGCAGATCTCACTATTTTATTTATTTATTTATTTCTGTACCTAATCACAGGTAGCGCGGCGCAGTATTGCTATAATTAATAACGACTTCGTGCTGGACGGGAAGCCGATCCGAATAATATCAGGATCACTCCACTACTTCAGGTTGCCTGCAGAGTACTGGCGGGACCGTCTGCGGAAACTGAAGGCTGCTGGACTCAACTCCGTAACAACGTAAATAACTCCTAATTCAAAGAATATACGCAGACGTAATAATATTTTCCTAAGAAAAATCTCCTAGAAATAATTATCATCCTAAAAATAATTATCATAATAATTTAGTATGTACTCATATGTCCAAGCCGTCCAAGGCCATACAATTTAAGTCGCTATGCGACAAAACAACTTTGATAATAGTCGTTTAATACTTCCAAGACGAAATGGTTAATGGAGTCTCAAAATGTATGGTCACTCACTGACCTACTTGTGAAATAATAGAGGTTATTAATCATTTATAAAAAGGGTTTGCTCACATAACTACTCGTAACATTTTTTTTATATATTTCTGTTGTAAATTTTTATCAGATACGTGGAGTGGAGTTACCATGAACCCGAAGAAGGGCAGTATTTATTCGAAGGTGACAGAGATGTCGCCAAATTCATTCGTATGGCTGCCGAAGAAGGCCTATATGTTCTTCTACGAGTTGGTCCATACATTTGTGCTGAACGAGACCTCGTAAGTGAATAAACTCTTTTTCAATTAACAATTCTCTAGCTTCTGGTTTTACCTGCTCTACTGAGAATAAAAGTACCTTATGTGTTATTAAGTTGGGTTTCCTCTTCAGAAATTTTAATAGTTATAACTAATATTAGTAAAATGCATAAAGATTTTAATGCGATAGAACGTTTATTTTACATATATAACATCATTTAGCGCATGTTATTTTCCTTACCCATTTATTTTTATTTTGGTTCTTGGTACTTTCCTGTTAAAACTAAAATGCAAAGTTTTCCTTGATTCATATTAGTTTATATTGTATGTGTACCTACCTCATATACCTGACATACGTAATGTACTATAAATATTGTGTTATCTGTAATTTATCCGAATCTATTCTAAGGTCTATTGTATATGCTTTGATAAATTTTACCTCCTATTCCATTCGAACTAATAAGATTATTTTAATAGTATTGTTTGTTTGTACAAAGTGTGATTTTTGAAATTCACAATAATTATAAGTTATAACCGCTTACCATCAGGTGGGTGGGTGCGATTTTTCCACCGTCGTGGTTTAAAAAAAAATTACAAGTAATACAACCCCCTCCCCCTCTAGTATAAGTTTAGTTTGGTAGAACAAATACCCACAGAGTGGATTCCTCTGCATCTCCTTTAGATTAATAGAAGGTGTGAAGTTATATAATATTTATATCATTTTATTATATTTATTTCCAGGGTGGTTTTCCATATTGGTTGCTCGGCAAATACCCAAACATCAGCCTAAGATCCACGGATAAAGGTAAATCAACATAAATTTACCTATCTACGTAGGTAACTTAAGGGCTTGATGAATCATAAGTCTTTATTTGTTGTTTGTCAAGTATACGAGGCTGGAGAGTTTGTTTAAACGCGATAATCTCAGAAACTACTAGTCCGATATGAAAAATGTTTTTGGTTTGGATAGTCCATTTATCGAGGTCCATCACGCTGCGATCAATAGGCACTGAGTAAAACGGAAGTAGTTAGTGGATAATATAACATAGTAACATAACGTATCATGCAGTTTAATCCCTGTAAATTATGTTATGTTCCACAGTGGAGGTTTTTCGATGAAGGTGATGATGATGATGACAATCTGGAAGTCAGTTCTTCATTACGATTTAAGTATTAGACACACAGGCTGGAAATTTTATAATGCCACCTGAAGGGGAACTCTTAATACTCTTAATACTTTAAATGCTTTAACCATTGGGTCAACCATTGAATTAATAATTTAAGATTTCATTGTTTTCTTTTCATTCAATTTATGAAGTTTGTTAAAGAAATTTCATCCTTATTGACCCTAACGATTGATGCAATAAAAGTACAGGTGCAACTTGTACAGATTTTAATCGATTCATTTACCGTGTGCGGCAATCGATTTTTTAAAAATCTTGGAATGCAGTTTTCTTTGTTTTCAAAAATAAAAGGAATGTTTTCTTTGAGTAAAATTTTGTTGTAAATGGACGAGCATTTTATATTCACAGATTAGATTACCAACATTAAAAGTGTGAAAGTTTTTAATTCATTTCGCGTAACCCCTACTTTCCAATTCATTTTAATATTTAATTTATTCATTTCAGATTACATAGCAGAATCCGGTAAATGGTTGGACAAATTCTTCGAACAAACGTCTTCCTTACTGTATGGGAACGGGGGACCAATAATCTTAGTCCAGGTAAATTGGTACCTAAATACTATAATTTTCAAACTTTATTTAACTTATTGATGTTGAAAAAAAACGTTCAAATATTTACATATTTATTCTACTAAGTACTCAACAATGACCGCACGTTGACTTTACTATGAAAGATTTTAAGCCAACGTAGCCATATGATGTCATTTAATCAAAACTCTAAATTCGCCAACGAATACGCATGTCTGTGTTCTATAGTATGGAAAGTAAAACCGGTACTTGCAATAAACTACGTACAAATAAACGAGTTCGATGTCTCAGGATGTTTAGCGATAAATGGAGGCTATAAAAATTAGAGGGTGGTAAAATACCAGCTTCTAAAGTAATAGTTTCATGCTACGAGTCTATACACCGCATAAAGGAGTTAAAATTTATTATTAACCAATACAATACAAAATAGGTTCATAGTTTCAGCGTGATACTAACAGTTCACTGACCAAAGGTCAAATGTGTTGACCTCTTAAACAAACGTCCAAGCTGAGAACACTTTGAACTATGACCTCCTTTGTATGTAATTCATGTCAAGTTATCTACATTTTAATCAGTCTACCGGCATGTAAATCGAAATTAGGTACTAGATCCCATAATAAATAAATACCTAAGTAGTTACTTATTAATTTATACATGCTCTTATAATTGACGACCTCGTTGGTCGGGTGGTCGCAATTGTGACTGCCGGGCAAGGGGGTCTCGGGTTCAATTCCCGGGTCGGGCAAAGTGCTACTGGGTTTTTTTAAAAATGTGCCCGGTACATGGCAAAAGGCATTACATGGGTCTCATAGTCATAACATAAAGAGTGAAAAGTGGGTGTTAAATTATAATTTACTTTGGCACTTTATGTCACTGTATACAGTGACATAAAGTGCCGTAAAGTGCACCTCTGCCTACCCCTTCGGAGATAAAAGGCGTGATGTTATATGAGTGGTCTTATAACCAAAGCATTATTTATTTATTTAATTAATCACTTAATTGTCAAATCTGATTATAAGTGCTGTGAATGGGCCTTCAAATCTTTGTTTGCTATCCAGGTAGAAAATGAGTACGGTAGCTATGGCAACAACATGAACTATCGAGTCCAAGTCCGCAACATGCTGCAAAACCACGTCGGTACCAACGCTCTCCTCTACACTACTGACGGGAATTCAATTTCTTTCTTCAGAAATGGTGCCGTTCCTAACACTCTCACCACCATCGATTTTGGTCCCCACTCAAGTCAGTATAATTTTTAATAATGTATTTACATAATTATGTAGACTTTTTTCCCCAAAACTTAAATTATAATATAAGTCCTGGAGTCCAAGTCTGCAATTTCACCAAAATTTTAACATGATCTAATTCTCATTGCATTGCAATAAAAAATATATCTAGATAGCCGCTATGTACCAGACAAAATTTTAAAAAGGAAAAAATATTGTAAGACCTATAATCTGTGGCATAGGTTTAGTGTGTACGTAGTAAGAAGGTGGAAGTTGTACGTTTGTACTCTGCATGTACGACTACGATATAATACCTACCAACTAATAAATTTCATTTCTGTCAATGGAGTGCCACTGGAAGGTCATAGCGACGTCGTTATTCAGGAAATAATCCAAAGTCAGAGTAATGATAGACCAGTTTCACACTATTGTAATAAGAGCCCCCTGGTGTGTTGCACCAAAACTATTTACTACTTTTCTGACGCACATTAATTTTTTTTTTTTTTTTTACAAAACAAAAACTTTGCCCCTCACTAGGATTTTCTCCCGTGTCGTGGGTGCGTTTACAAACATACAAGTTCACATACACATGACACCCAGACCCGGAACAACAATCTGTGGATCATACAAAGAGTTGTTCCGTGCGGGAATCGAACCCATCATATCATCATATCATTTTTTCGTGTTTAATATAAATTTATGTAGCGTAACAATTGCTATTACTTTTCACAGTGTATTTTAATAACTTCTTTATAATGAAAAAAAGTGAGTATTAACGTAATATTTTTTAATTTAAAGACTTAATATTAGTGTTTTTAGCCTGCATAGACATATTTTGTATCGTGATTTGTGTAGGGTGACCGAATCTGAATTATAACGATTATTTTTTTTTTATGTAAAGGTAAAGCGAAATACTCTTCACAAGATCTTGTTCAATGTCTAAAGACGATTAGGGACATCCACAAATAATTCCAGATAAAGAATTATGTTCATCTAAATATTAAACATATTTACTTTAAGCGTAATAACTGTCGTGAGACATACTGAATAAAAATAACAGCTTTCTTACGTAAACTTACTCCAGCTCATACACACGCTGATCCGCCGCACGATGAGTAAGAGTTCCGTTGTGACTTGAAACTAGTAGAACTTGTCTTAAAAAGTTCACGTGACGAAGCTTTTATTTTTAATTCATGTTCCAAAAGCATTTTTGACTATAACGATGATGTTGTTGTTTTATAGATGTACAACAATCATTCGAGGAATTGCGAAAGTTTATGCCTTCTGGACCTTTGATGAACTCTGAGTACTACACGGGTTGGCTAACTCATTGGGGCGAGCGTCTCGCCGTCGTCAAACCCGAGGACGTGGCTAAAACGCTCGGCGACATCATCAGTTACGGCGCAAACGTCAACTTTTACATGTTCTTCGGAGGCACCAACTTCGAATACACAGCTGGCAAGTTCAGTTTTTGTTAATCACTTTTAAGTACATATTATGTGCTTCTACCATTTATTTATGTGTTTGATATGCAGTATGACACACAGCCATCAGACATGTGAGATATGAGACAAACTCAGTATTCAAGGCGTAGATATTTACGGGGTTCATTATATCTTGCAGGGGCCAACTACTTCGGTACTTTTCAACCAGACATCACATCGTATGACTATGATGCACCGATATCAGAGGCGGGAGATCTCACTCCTAAATACCATCTTATTAGACAGAAATTAAAGGAGGTATGTAACTATTCTATTGTTATTGTAATTGTCTAATCTATTTTTAAAGAAATACTTTTGTTTTTTTTATATTAAAACTTTCGTGCGACATAATAATTACTTTTGTTTATTCTTGCAGAACAACTTTGTTAATGAAAGCATTGAAGTACCACAAAATAGTCCTAAAGGTGATTACGGGCCCGTAAACTTAACTGCAACGGTGAATTTACTAAGTCCCGAAGGTCGATCTCAACTAGGCAAAAAGTACCCCGATGTAACGGGCCCAAATCTGCCAACCTTCGAGCATCTTCGTCAACGAGCAGGACTTATGCTATATGAAACCACATTAACCGAAGCTGATGACTTGTTACACATAAAGACACCTAGAGATATGATTTTCGTGTTTGTTGATGGCGTAAGTACGAATCATAAATATAATTTAACAAACTACGCCAACTAAGCGTTTTCTTGCGTTAAATACACTGAATAAATAAAACAGCGGTAAGTTGCTATTTCAAGTCGGAATTGTGACTAGTGCGATATATGTACTTACACTACACAAGCGCTGCGGTTACAATAACAAAACATTTTGTACTGCGCCACTGGTACGCGATATGTAGATATATCGCGTACCTACGTACGCGATAATATGCGTACGCAACTGTACGCATAACAACGCAACAAACAACGCGTACGCAACGGCTACGCGATATCGACAGTACAGCTACGGCTACGACACGTCAGTGTAGCAGCTACGCCACATCCACAACATAACTACGAGAAGTTTGGACAGCGCATTCTTACAAACTATCGTTTGTTTAAGAGTTATATAATTTCTGATCATTGCATGGTATAGAAGTTAACGTCAAAAATATAGTAAAAAAACTGCATACTGAAAATTAGATAACTGAAATTAGCCTTTAGTAAATTACGTAAAAGAAGAAACTCTACCCAATCTAACTTTATTGAGTTTATTGCAGGAATTCAGAGGTCGCATCAGCAGGATTCACAAGATCTACAGCATTCCGTTGTCAGCAAAGAATGGTTCAGTGTTGTCGTTATTAGTAGAACCCCTGGGACGAATAAACTTTGGCAGATTTATACACGATTTTAAGGTAATATCAAATGAATAATATACATCTCCATTATCATTTGATCAACAGCTCATAACAATCCACTGCTGAAGCACCACATGACGATACCACTTACACTCAGCATAGCTAGTAACGCCTGCCGCTAAATAAAAGCAACCATTATCATATCTTTATCTTCACACGCATAATAACGCACTGTCGTGCTGTATGTATGACCTGTCTACAGTCTCATGCACGAATAAACCCATCACGTAGGCCATAACACATCTTCCAACTTCCTATTTTTTAATAGAGGGTTGCCATTTTCTCCACACTTGGCAGGTAGCGTGGGCATCGCATTTAGATCACCAAATGTTTAGTTAGTATAGAAGATACTGCTGCCCGTTTGTATGTTGTTTGTGTAAGTACAAATATTGGCTATGTGCACGATGGTGGCGACGCGTAGCGTTTACAACATTTGCGAAAGCTGTCAAATAATAACAATGTAAACATTATAATTTTCTTTGCAAATATAAATAAAACCAAAAATTAAAATATTATTATTGACATTACTTAAGTGCAATTTATTCATTAGTTTTACTGTAAAAGGAATATAATAATAAAAATTAAAAACCGGGTTTGAAACTATTACACATAATATATTAATTTCCAACCACAAACTGAGACAAAAGGCAATAAATTAGTATTAGCCGAGCATGTAAGAAATGTGAAAGAAATGCGACATAACGGTCAGAGCTAGTTAATACGAGCCATAGTCCATTTCTTGTCGCGGAGAACCTAACGGGTAACCGGGGCTCCGGCTCGACGTGCAGGAGAAGGAACGGGGTGGTTTTTAGTCAGTAAGAGTCTGACACTCCCTCCCGCCTCACCCAGGCGGGGGCAGTCATTCGATGATTTTCCCCCCTTAAAAAAAAATAAAAAAATAGTCCATTTCTTTGCTTTGATTTTGTACTGCAATCAACACATTTGACAGTTGATCATCCCCATTTGTTTCCAATTTCTGCCGTGTTGTGCGCTACAGTCGTTATCTGTCCGCCACTACTCACTTTGCACATAGCCAATAATACCTAATATGTTGTATTTTATTTACAGTTGCAGAATAATACTTACTACTTTTATTATTAAGGGCCTGGGAAGTTAGATTCGATGTGGAATTCTTTTCCTTACATAGCTTCTCCTAATAGTAACAAACCTAACAAAAAAGAATTAGCGGAATCGGTTCAGCAGCTCACGAGATTTGCGCTTAGCAATGAATTTTTTATATTTAACATAACATCATAACATCACACCTTTTATCCCCGTAGGCAGAGGTGCACACAGAAGTAACACCCACTTTTCACTATTTATGTTATAAGTCCCATGTAATAGGGGGTGAGCCTATTGCCATATACCGGGCACATTTCCAGACTCCGTGCTACTACTGAGAATTTTTAAAAAACCCAGTAATACTTTGCCCGACCCGGGAATCGAACCCGAGACCCCTTGCCCGGTAGTCGCACTCGCGACCACTCGGCCAACGAGGCAGTCGTTTTTTATATTTATATAGGTATAATTACTTTTTTACTTAAATATATATAGCAGAAAATATTCATTTTGGTTACACGTTACTTTAAATGGAGTACTTTCTCTGTCACTATCAATTAGTGAAAAAACTTAATTACTTCCATGATAAATGATATAGGTAATCAACATACCTTATTAAATAATAATAATAGATTTTATTGTTACCCACACAAATCAATTTACTAACAATAATTGTTAAAAAATGCGGTTTCAACGCATCCTGTTGACATCGAATACTAAAACAAAAATAAAAATATGAACCGGATATTAAACCCCTTTTGCTATCATTATTTCCTGAAGTAATGTTTATCAGAAACACACAATGTGGTCATATCAGGTCATAGCAACTTCATAAGTTAGACATTGACCAAGAAAGATGGATGTGTAACGTATATATGCTAAAGATTGATATGGATAAACATAATTACAGTTCAGTACACTACAAAGCGTTATCTAGCCTTTATACCCGACTGCTAGTAGACCCTGTATCTTTCGTTTTCTTCTCTGTATAGTGAAGCAATGCAAGTTGCTTTTACAAAATCCGTGTTCTAAAATGCGATTGTTAATGCAAAATACAAAAAGATGCGTGGCAGTTCGCCCAGCATCTTGAGCGTATTGAGTGATAAATGGAACAGTCCAATGTTGACCCATTGGATTAGACTGCACGCGATGTAGACTGACATTAAATTACTAACAATAGGTTAAGATCATTGTTATTAACATGAATTTTTGGTCTGAAATAAATGATTAATAATAAAAAATAGTAAATAGTAACGTATCAAAATAAAATGGAATAATAAATATATGTATATAGTAGGTACGTTATACGAATGTTTAAACTTAAAAGTACCTATTACAAATTAGTGTTATAATTTTTCTTAGTAAAATAATAAATGAACCAAGTTTGTTTTGGACCTCGTGCTATCTGTGATATGATTACAATAATAACTATAAATATCCGTAGTAGAAACAATGAAATTGTTTTGCTTATATTTGGTACGCAATTAATAAAATCATAACACTTTGCCTGACTTATAAATACAACATGATATTTTACAGTTGAGTGTGTCGCGACACTAAATGATTGACCTTTACGGTGGTGGTCCATGGTTCATGTTGAAATTTTATTGCAGGGTATATTAAGCCAAGTGGAGTTCAAAAGCAAGGCTTTAGATGGAAAATGGACAGTGACAGGATTTCCTTTGGAGACATTCGATACGTCACCGGTTAACAATCCTAATTTGAAAACCCCTGCGTTTTATGAAGGCTACTTCACGTTGCCAGAAGGCAAGGAACCACTGGACACTTTTGTCGATACTACTGGATGGGGCAAGGTATTATAAATTTTATGATACTTCTTTTTTCAGTAATTACAAAATGGTTACTGCAAAAGTACGTTACTACGACGTACTACCATAAATATAGTGGAGAGCGGTCACCGGTGACCGCTTGGGTATATCTCCACTAACTATATTATAGACCTAATTTCCAATGTTTAGAGACTACTTTTGTATGAACAAATTTAGGTGATGTTTTTCAACGGGTTAATTTTGAAATTCATGATCCGTAGTCGGACAAAACTTAAACAAAAGTTATGTTACAGGGCTACATCTGGGTGAACGGTCACAACCTCGGCAGGTACTGGCCAACAGCAGGACCACAGATCACGCTGTACCTGCCAGGAGTTTGGCTCAAACCAGCACCAGAAAGGAACCACATTCGAATCTTGGAACTGAACAGACCTCCACCTGTCCTCGCCATGGACTTGATAGATTATCCAATCCTCAATAGAACTGGAAATATTAACTGGTGGAGGATACAACCGAAAGTACTGAAACCAAATAACGTAACATTTGTGTAGAATAATGTACAATTACCTATACCTAATAAAAAAGTTCATACATGTACTTCTTGACAGTTGTTAACATTTATTTTCGTAATTAATTCGTTTATGTTTATTTACACCCAAGTATTAAACTGAACAAAATAATAGTGTTAAGTCTTTCATATTTTTGGTGAATTAAATCAGTTGTAAGTATCGTATTACATGTTTTTTCTTAGATGGCCATTATCCAGCAAATAATTGTTGTGTATATTGTACCTATATTCTCTGTCACTCAGAAGTTAAATTATTAAACGATCTGACATTTACACTTACTTAACACGGATTGCAATTCAAAATTGGTAAAATACTGTACCCAGATTCTTGAGAATTGATCACAGTGTATAGCCATATTACAGTGTTAGAAGCTTTATTTATTAAAGCAAATGAACTGGAATGAAACTGAATCCATTTCATGAAAATATTTTTTAAATCTGTCTGTACGATGCACTTCATTTAATGTCTCTGCAATAATGTATTTCGATTGATTAAATGAAGTGAAGTAGGTACCTACCATTTTAATTTTAAGTTAATCGTAGTTATGAATTAAATCCTAAATCTAATCTTAAAAGTCTATTAAGGTGTCCACTACTGTACCTTGTTTTTTCTATACTCTTTTTAACTCTATTTCATTTTACGCGCTTTTAAATCTAAAAACATTTTAAACTTACTAAACTAATATTAAATACCTGCGCATCACTGTCGCAGCATCATTACAATAGATCGTGGTGCATTGGCTAAAGGCTCTGACAAAATACTAGAAAGGGATCCGAAATCAAACTTTTGAGGCTATAATGTTGCCATTGACCGGTGAGTCCCTCGCCACCTTAAATTTAACACACTCCACTAGCATATTATTATGATAAACATTATCTAACTTGCCACATATTTCGCAGTTAAGTGGATTCACATTTTTCATAAGAATTCTTCAATACTCAAATGCAACGACTGACTGAATGCAATTCGTGTACCTACTGCGCAGTTTGAGTGAATATTTCCGAATACAAACAGGTTTCAATTTGAAGCGCATTTTTATGAGCGACCATTCACAACATGAAACGATAATCTCGACCCAAATGCTAATGTAATAAGACTGAAAATAGAAGAGAAACTTTACATATGGAACGTATTATTAATGACAGAAATGTCTACTTTGTAAAGTTATATTAACTAAGACGTTTATAGTCTCTTAGTTACTTCAAGCAAACTACTAGCAATTAAAATACAAACGAATCACAGTTGCGATATACGTAGACTGCTATCAATGCCATTCCAACAGCGGTCTTCGAATCCAGTTTAAATTATTATATGGAAGCATACAGAACACAAACAGAACAATTCACACTATAAACCCATAACAAGTGGTATGAAAGAGATGGGTATAGCAAAGTTACTGAAGCGCAAAAGAGTCGGTAGCAGGTAGAACTCATTGTGTGTGTGACGGAGTATGATAAGGAGTAGGTAATGGGTGAAGCGAGCCTGTCGTCGTGCAGATCGCGACAGCGCCGGACCGTTCTTCACCGGCAACATAATAAAACACGTGGCCGGCACATCGAACCTACAAAAAGTGAGTAGAACTACAGTTTATTGACCGATACCCAGGTTAATACCTATAAAACTTTGAACTTGTATATTTGTTACGATAATGTAATAAAACTAATTGATTCTGTACTTCATTTTTTGTAACAAAGGTACATACATGTTAATTCGTAATGTTCGAAATGAAAACTTTAGTTTCTAAGTTAAAAGATTCAATTAGTAAAAAATTATAAGTAAGTACATGTATCTATCTTTCTTGAAAAGAATTTAATTAAAAGTTAAAGAGAGTCATTTACTTTTTTGGCACAAAGTTATTTAATTTAATTACATTCTTAATAAGTGTCTATTAAATACTAGGTATGCGTACTGATAACGAAAATTTATTGAATTAGCTCAATAAGAGAATTTTATAAATACCTTGAATTAGTGTTTATTTCAACTAAGTTGTTACTTTCGTTCAATTGATGTTCCTTCTTCATTAGTTTGACTAATTTAGTGTTCTTTATCTATTAGTATTACGAAATTATTTCTTCGTTAAGTAGGATACAATGAAAAAGTTGTTTCATAATTTGATGTCTACGTTTTTAATATTTATAATAAAGATTCTATAAATCTTAAAAAAAATGTCGTATTGTGAATGAAAAACTGGTTGAAAGTTCGTATAGCAACTAATGCCAGTGACTTACACACTACTCTTATATTGGTATATATCACGTTTAGAATAGTCAAACATGCTTCATTGATTTTAGATACACAGTATCTGCCTGTAGTGTAATTCTAAACACGAATTCATCGAGATATTTGGCATGACTTCTATGAAGAAGGATAAGGATGGTCATGTTTCATTCGTTCAACTAAATATACGTAACGTTCAAATAAATATATGTTTATATGTATCATTGTAAGTACTCGATAAAATTGTATTTGGTATCACATTCGCTTTCGTCTAAATATTGTAAAAGGAGATTTACAAGGATGTCAGCCACCTAACTACGACACGGCGTGAAGACTATCGCTGCTATGTGTTGTGAAAAATACTGCGGACGTTGTTACAGTTAATAGTTTCCAATTGAAAAGGTTAAATATAGTTTACTCATTGATTCGTTTTTGTAAGTCAATAAACATACAAGTTTTGTGCTGTTTAGATGGTGTCTGGTGATTTAACTTGTGAGGTAGGCCCGCCATGCAGCCTTGTGTTGGCTGATGGGTCCGTCTTCCAAGGACGAAGCTTTGGAGCACAGGTGCCAGTAGATGGCGAAGTTGGTAAGTACAACGATATTGACATTCAAAATTTAACAAAACGTCATTTTTAAGGAATTCCACAAGGATTTATATCCTTGTGGAATTCCGATAGGTACAAACAAAACCAGTCCAGGTAGAGGTTTAAGTTTTTGTTACACATTGTCCCCATGCGAGCTTGCGACTAACAATGTAACAGCAAAAATTGACAAAATATCAGCTGTGTCCCCAATATTCAACAAAACTTACAGCTGAGCAGCTGACTTTTATTGTATTGAGTGATGAATATTGGTTTTCATAACAACTAAATATTAAAGTTTATGTTGGACTAGCTGTGCCCGCGACTTCCTTCGCGTGGTTGTCGAAAACAAAACAACATCGTTTATACAACAGTGGGCTATTTACATATGAACTCCACTTAAGAAAGTGGTTTTGTATTTTAGTATTTTATTTACGTTAATAAAGATAAAAGTGATATTATACTGAACGGAGGTCGCACCAAAACAAAAAATTAATGACGGTAAATAATAATAGAAAAAAAAATTAAATAAAAAAACAACAAAAAAAAACTACTTAATTATTGTAAATACAGTGATTTGAAAATGCAACACACTACAACTACAATTACTTGTATACTGGACTGATTTTGGTAGGTTTCGTTCAATTACATATGTTACAAAAAGGTCGTTCGTAGGACGTTCTGTTTCTGTTTCTGGTCGGACGGGGAGCCACCCATGCTCGCCGTCCGCAGTCCCGCGCTTACGGTGGCCGGAGATCGTCCTGCGATCCCCGACGCCCGGTGTGTCCTTCGCGATGGCTGGGTTGCGAGGAGGCAACGCTTCGCTGCCTCACGCGTCCCGCCTCCTCCTTAGCTAGCATGACTGCTTCGCAAAAGGAGGAGACGGCATCCCAGTCGCGAGAAGTCGCCATCGCCGATCACTTCCCTGAGTGCACGGCGGTGCTCAGCCCACGCAGGGCATTCTCCCACTGTGTGTTCCACCGTGTCCTCAGGGCGGTCCTCGCAGTGATAGAACCTAACGGGTTCCGGGGCTCCGGCTCGACGTGCAGGAGAAGGAACGGGGTGGTTTTTAGTCACTAAGAGTCTGACACTCCCTCCCGCCTCACCCAGACGGGAGCAATCATTCGATGATTTTCCCCCCTCAAAAAAAAAAGAAAAATTCTACATGTTTAAAATATCATGTAGTATCTTTACTTCGGATTTCAAACCAATGACCCAAACGAAACCAATTTTCCAAAGGTATCGTTTCGAATACTATACTGAATTGCGTGTTTGTAATATTTTACTTCTTGAACTCACTAAATTAATCATATCTTCTGATAGAGTGAACCGATTTCGATGAAACGAAAACCAAGTTATACCTCAAGTTGCGTAGAATTTTTGTATATAAACAATGTCTACGTTGAGTTTGTAAATTTTACGTGATGCGCGCACAAACAAACAGACAAAAATTTCAAAAATGATGGAAATGGGTTCTTTTAGTTATCTTTTAACACGCTGGCTATTTTTTTGTCAATTTCTTCAATGTACAAAAATTACTTGGCTACAGATTTATTATATGTTACTGTGTATTAATTATTTCACTGTCTAACATTTTCTATATTCTTGCATTAAATACACTCTCTAATTAAATGACTAAAAGATAAACACAATATAAAAATGTGCAATAACAGTGTTTCAGACGGGTATGGTCGGATACCCAGAGTCGCTGACTGACCCATCTTATCACGCACAACTGTTGGTACTCACGTACCCATTGGTTGGCAACTATGGCGTTCCTGACGAAGATGAACAAGACGAACATGGGATACCTAAGTAAGATTCCTTTTTTAATTAACTTCACTTGTGTAAGATATTTTGCCCTTAACGTTTGAACTTAACGTTTTTGCAGTTGTAATAGAATAAAAATTATATTTGCTGTAAGTTTTAATGTAAGTTTAATAAGCTTATACTGGTAATATAATTCCTCTGGGCATAAGATATTAAATTAGGTAAAATACAAATTTAATTACTTTAATCATACACTGATTAACTTTTCAGGTGGTTTGAATCCAACCGTATTTGGGCAGCTGGGTTGATTGTCGGTGAAGTAAGCACAAATGCGTGCCACTGGCGTGCTAAACGTTCCTTGGGCGCCTGGTTGGCGGCGCGAGGAATCCCAGGCGTCTGCGACGTAGACACCAGAGCGCTAACATTCCGACTCAGAGCTGGCGTTACTTTAGGGCGTATCATTCAAGGTGTTCCACCGTTTGGCCCATTACCAGCTTTATCAGATCCAAATAACAGAAATTTGGTTGCCGAAGTTTCTGTAAAGGTAAGATAAATGAAAAAAATGGTTTATTCAAAATAACAAACATAGTTTAGATAAAAATATTACTTCTGCCAAACTGTAAAACAGTTTGTTGGCAGAATTAGCTCCCTTAAATAATACCTACAACTAAATAAAAATTTATAAAACTTTTGACATCGTAATTCACACATAATAATTACCAGGTAAGTAGTTTAAGTAGGAAATAAACTTAATATATATATATATATATATATATCTCCATATAGGAGGCCTTAACAAACTTTGTTGAGAAGAAACTTGCTTTTGAAGGAAAGTTTTGTAGTACAGCTGCTTCCCAAATCGACTGGCGTGTCAATAAATATCGTTAGGACTAAGCATTTTCTACATCTTTGCCTATGTAGAAAATGCTATGGTAGTTAACAGTAGTAGGTACTATGACTCTTCTAATTATTTTCTCTCTTCAAGAAGTACTTTTATATTTTGTCATGAAATTAAACATGATAGAAAAGTAAACCACTTTTAGTACTGAATTAACATTATCTTAACATAATTTTCAAAACCCTTATTCATTAATTTACAGGAACCAAAAATATATAATCCGAATGGACAAGTAACAATAATGGCGGTTGACTGTGGGTTAAAATACAATCAAATTAGATGTTTGATCAAAAGAAACGCAAAGGTCGTACTGGTACCTTGGGACCACAAGCTGGACAGTAGCCAGTACGATGGTTTGTTCATCAGCAATGGTCCAGGCGATCCTGTCAAATGTAAGAAGTTGGTGGACAATATGCGAACTATAATTGAAGATAAAAACAGTGTTAAGCCATTGTTTGGTATCTGTCTCGGACACCAGTTACTGTCCACTGCAGCAGGCTGCAAGACTTATAAAACCAGGTATCCACCTAAAATATCTTTTTGGATTATTATATTTTAAGAGAATTATAAGATAGTAACTGGCGAAGTACCTCCGTTTTAGAAAATTGACGGCATGCAACGAAACAATAACAGTTGTTTCTAGGAGCATAGATATAGCATAGCATAGCATAGTATAAGGATTAAGGTGGGCGTATATGATTGTCTTGATTCCTGAATATCTATATCTACTTGGTTTTTACTTTTTATAGGTATTGCACTAAACTAAAACTCAACATAGGTATTTCAATAGTATCTATAGTTTTTTAAAAACATATTTTGTTTCAGTTATGGTAATCGAGGACACAATTTGCCCTGCACTCATAATGGTACCGGTCGATGTTTCATGACATCACAGAATCATGGATTCGCCGTCGATGCAGATTCTCTACCTGAAGGTTGGAAAATATTATTCACAAACGAAAATGACAAAACCAATGAAGGCGTTATTCATGAAACTTTGCCCTACTTCAGCGTACAATTCCATCCAGAACACACAGCTGGACCCACCGACTTAGAGTGTCTTTTTGATGTATTTATTGATGCAGTAAAATGTTACAAAAATAAGCAGACCTATAGCGTAGATAATGCTATTACAGAAAAAATAAAATTTGTGCCGACTATTCACGAAAGGCCGAAAAAAGTGCTTATCCTTGGGTCCGGTGGATTATCGATCGGTCAAGCAGGAGAATTTGACTATTCAGGATCGCAGGCAGTTAAAGCCTTACAAGAAGAAAAGATACAAACGGTATTGATTAATCCTAACATTGCCACTGTGCAAACATCGAAGGGATTAGCCGACAAGGTATATTTCCTCCCCATTACACCGGAATACGTCGAACAAGTTATCAAAGCTGAACGACCTACAGGCGTACTCCTCACGTTTGGCGGTCAGACGGCTTTAAACTGTGGTGTAGAATTAGAGAAATCAAAAATTCTAGAAAAATACAATGTTAGCGTCCTCGGAACTCCCATCCAATCAATAGTAGACACAGAAGATCGTAAGATATTTGCTGAAAAAATCCATGCTATTGGAGAAAAAGTTGCACCAAGTGCAGCTGTAACAACAATCGAAGAAGCCCTAATAGCTGCTAAACAAATTGGTTATCCAGTCATGGCTCGATCTGCATTCTCATTGGGTGGTTTAGGATCTGGCTTTGCTAACAATGAAGATGAACTCCGCACACTTGCACATCACGGTCTGTCCCATTCTGATCAACTCATAATTGACAAGTCGCTTAAAGGCTGGAAAGAAGTGGAATATGAAGTGGTTAGAGATGCATTCAATAATTGTATCACAGTGTGCAATATGGAAAATGTTGATCCTTTGGGTATACACACAGGAGAGTCAATAGTAGTTGCACCCAGTCAAACCTTATCTAACAAAGAGTATTACATGTTGAGAAACACTGCTATCAAAGTTATTCAGCACTTTGGAATAGTAGGAGAATGTAACATTCAGTATGCATTAAACCCGAATTCAGAAGAATTCTATATTATTGAAGTAAATGCACGATTATCTCGAAGTTCAGCGCTAGCGAGTAAAGCAACTGGTTACCCATTAGCTTACGTAGCTGCAAAATTGGCTTTAGGTATCCCATTACCTGTTATTAAAAATTCCGTGACCGGAGTCACTACTGCTTGCTTCGAACCAAGTCTCGATTATTGTGTTGTTAAAATTCCTAGATGGGATTTGGCTAAATTTAATAGAGTAAGCACAAAAATAGGAAGTTCTATGAAAAGTGTTGGAGAAGTAATGTCAATAGGAAGGAGTTTTGAAGAAGCTTTTCAAAAAGCATTGAGAATGGTGGATGAGAATGTCAATGGCTTTGATCCAAATATTAAAAGAGTAAATGAAGACGAATTGCGAGAACCAACGGATAAAAGAATGTTTGTGCTTGCCGCTGCTTTGAGAAATGGTTATACGGTGGATAAATTATACGAATTAACAAAAATTGATCCTTGGTTTCTTCACAAGTTTAAAAATATAATAGATTATTATAAAATATTGGAGGCCGATCATCATGGTTCAATTCCTTTTGACGTCTTAAAAAAAGCAAAGAAAATCGGATTTTCCGATAAACAAATCGCTGCAGCAATAAAAAGCACTGAGGTCGCGGTTAGAAAGTTAAGAGAAGAATATAAAATCACACCATTTGTGAAACAAATCGATACAGTTGCAGCCGAGTGGCCAGCTTCAACAAATTATTTATATTTAACTTATAACGGCAATACTCACGACCTAGATTTTCCCGGTGGATTTACTATGGTGCTGGGATCAGGTGTATATCGTATAGGAAGTTCTGTTGAATTCGATTGGTGTGCTGTCGGCTGTCTTAGAGAACTTAGAAATCAAGGTAAAAAGACAATCATGATAAATTATAATCCCGAAACTGTAAGTACCGATTACGATATGAGTGATAGGTTGTATTTTGAAGAAATATCTTTTGAAGTTGTTATGGATATCTATAATATTGAACATCCAAACGGAGTCATATTATCAATGGGAGGACAGTTACCAAATAACATTGCAATGGATTTACACAGACAGCAAGCAATTATTCTTGGCACTTCGCCTGATATGATTGACAATGCCGAGAACAGATTTAAGTTTTCAAGAATGTTAGACCGTAAAGGTATAATGCAACCGAGGTGGAAGGAACTTACAGATTTAGAATCAGCGACAAGCTTTTGTGAAGAAGTTGGATACCCTTGTCTGGTACGCCCATCGTATGTTTTAAGTGGTGCAGCTATGAATGTTGCAAATTCAAATCAAGAGTTGGAAACTTACTTAAAATCGGCAAGTTTAGTTAGTAAAGATCATCCAGTGGTCATATCTAAATTCATTATGGATGCTAAAGAAATTGATGTCGATGTAGTCGCTGCAGATGGTGTTATTTTTTGTATGGCGGTCTCTGAACATGTTGAAAATGCCGGCGTTCACTCGGGAGATGCTACATTGGTTACCCCACCGCAAGATATCAATAACGAAACTTTAGATAAGATTAAAGAAATCGCCAGTATCATAGCTGAAACTTTGGATGTCAACGGGCCTTTCAACATGCAGTTAATTGCAAAAGATAATGAACTTAAAGTCATTGAATGCAATGTAAGAGTTTCGAGATCGTTTCCTTTTGTTTCTAAAACACTTGATCACGATTTTGTTGCAATGGCTACTAAGATTATCTTGGGTCTACCGGTGGAACCAGTTAATGTAATGGCTGGCTGTGGAAAAGTGGGGGTCAAAGTACCACAATTTTCGTTCTCTAGATTAGCGGGAGCAGACGTAACTTTGGGCGTGGAAATGGCATCTACGGGTGAAGTAGCATGTTTTGGAGAAAATCGTTACGAAGCTTATTTGAAGTCGCTAATGAGCACAGGCTTTAGAATTCCTAAAAAAGCGATTTTGCTTTCTGTGGGCACATTTAAGGTAAGGTCTAATCTGGTAATACATCTATAAACAAATACAAAATTTCCGTCCTTTAATATTACTGTCATTTAATTTCAGCACAAAATGGAGCTACTTCCCAGTGTAAGAATTTTACACAAAATGGGATACAAATTATACGCTAGTATGGGCACAGGAGACTTTTATACTGAGCACGGAGTCGATGTAAGTGGTTTTTAGATTGGCGTACCATACCATTACATTATTGTAAATAAATACAATGTTGTCGTTATTTGTAACGACAGTTTTAATCGAATTAATTTCTATTTTCTGAAAGGTTGAAAGCGTTCAATGGACGTTTGACCACATAGGTGACCCTGAGGACGTCAGGTCTGACGGAGAACTGATGCATTTGGCTGACTTTATGGCAAGACGAGAATTGGATCTAGTAATCAATCTACCCATGCGTGGAGGATCTCGTCGTGTCTCCTCATTCTCGACACATGGTTATCGTACTCGTCGATTAGCCGTTGACTACGCGGTACCCTTAGTTACTGATGTAAAATGCGCAAAATTATTAGTTCAGGTTGGTGAAGTAAATTAATTTATTCATTTCGTCGTTGATTGTTCGAATATTAATTTAATAAAATGTAGATTAGTAAATATAAAATATTTCAAAAATATATTTACTTTATACCAGTATTTTATGTTTTACAGGCTATGCATTTATGTGGCGGTGTTCCTGTAATGAAAACTCATACAGACTGTATGACATCACGCAATATTATAAAATTACCTGGTTTCATAGATGTACACGTACATGTCCGAGAGCCTGGAGCCACGTATAAAGAAGATTTTGCCAGTTGCACGGCAGCCGCTCTTGCTGGAGGTATTACAATGATATGTGCAATGCCAAACACTAATCCTCCAGTAATTGACCGCTCTTCTTACGAATACGCGTCTGCATTGGCTCGCGTCAGTGCTCGGTGTGATTATGCGCTCTATATGGGGGCTTCGTCTACTAACTGTGAAACGGTTTCTGAAATGGCTCCTCAAGCGGCTGCTTTAAAAATGTATTTGAATCAAACATACACAACTCTTACATTAGATGATATGACCATTTGGCAAAAACATCTTCAAAATTGGCCTAAGAAAATGCCAGTTTGTTCTCATGCAGAGAAAGAAAAAACAGGAGCAGTAATTTTAATGGCCTCCTTACTTGACAGACCTATCCATATCTGCCACGTAGCAAGAAAAGAAGAAATTTTAATTATTAAATCTGCAAAGGAAAGGGGTCTGAAAGTAACATGTGAAGTGTGTCCACATCATTTGTTCTTAAGTACAGCAGATGTTAATGATATCGGTGAAGGCCGGGCTGAAGTGCGGCCAGTGTTATGCAGTCCGGAAGATCAAGCGGAACTTTGGAAAAATATAGACATCATTGACGTCTTTGCTACTGATCACGCCCCTCATAGTGTAGAAGAAAAAAATTCGGCTAAACCACCACCAGGTTTTCCTGGATTAGAAACAATTTTACCGCTACTTCTGAATGCAGTTCATGAAGGCCGTTTGACTATGGAGGATCTAATCAATAAATTCCACCGTAATCCTCGAAAAATATTCAACTTACCTGAACAACCGAATACTTATGTCGAAGTGGATATGGATTATGAATGGACGATCCCACAAGCTATGGAATTTTCTAAATCTAAATGGACACCATTTGCAGGATTGCAAGTTTGTGGGGCAGTTCATCGGGTAACTTTAAGAGGTGAGATTGCATACGTTGAGGGACAAGTTTTAGTGCCTCCTGGTTTTGGACAGAATGTAAGAGACTGGCCTTCACCAAAAAAACAAACTTTAGTTTCAATTGAAAAACCAGAGAAAGAGTTTAGTCGACCCAATTCTGCGCTTGATGTACACATTTCTGCAGAATTGAGCAGAGTAAGTGACATTGATTTTGATCAAATCGACAATAGACCTGAAGGACAGTCCAAGCCTAACGTCCACTTCAGTGAAATTGCAGCTGCTCGGTGTTTGTCACCGTTACCTCCACAATCGACTAGACAAAGATGCGACAGTACATCTAACTATAATCCCCCTACAACGACGGCGTCTCAGCGACAACGTAGTGACCTTTTCGGCAAAAGCATACTGACTGTAGACTCTTTCAGTAAAGAAACTCTTAATGATGTATTCAATCTTGCGCAGTTTATGAAAACGAGTGTTAACAAAGGCCGTTTTCTAGATGACATATTACGAGGGAAAGTGATGTCCTCCATATTTTATGAAGTCAGTACACGCACTAGTTGTAGCTTTGCAGCAGCAATGCAAAGATTAGGTGGATCTGTAATTCACACCGATGCGACTAGTTCGTCCGCAAAGAAAGGGGAAACATTAGAAGATAGTGTTGCAGTAATGGCTAGTTACTCTGATGTGGTGGTACTTCGCCATCCTGAACCCGGCGCAGTTGCGGTAAGAATTTTCCCAGTTTTGTATTATAAAAAAGTAGCAAAGAAGACAACTAGATTATATTTTAAAAATAATTTGTTTTGTTATTTTTACAGCGTGCTGCCCGTCACTGTCGTAAACCTATAATCAATGCAGGTGATGGCATTGGAGAACACCCTACACAGGCTTTGCTTGATGTATTTACAATTCGTGAAGAAATCGGAACGGTTAACGGATTAACTATCACTATGGTTGGAGATCTGAAGAATGGACGTACTGTTCATTCTCTAGCACGTCTTTTAACTTTGTATCAAGTGCAACTACAGTATGTTAGCCCTAAAGGACTAGGTATGCCAAAACATATTACAGATTATGTTGCCTCTAAAGGTATTCCTCAAAGAGTTTACGAAAGGTTAGAAGACGTATTGGCTGACACTCATGTTTTGTATATGACTCGAATTCAACGCGAAAGGTTCCAGAGTCAAGAGGAATATGAAAAGGTTATTATAATTTCACTTTTATGCAGACATAAAGGGTGACATTTAATTATTAGTGAAGGACAACCAAGCATTTACTAACATTAAAAAACAACTATCTCAAGGAAAGTTATATTATTAGTTGTCATAAGTGCTTCTCTGTCCTATACTAAATAATTGTCACCCTGTATGATTGCCAAATTGCAAGTAAGATTTTTTCGTTAGCACGCGTATTTAATTTTCATGCTTGATTTGCAGACGCGCGGGTTGTTGGTGGTAACTCCACAGTTGATGACTCGTGCTCGAAGGCGCATGGTAGTAATGCATCCACTGCCACGAGTCGACGAGATCTCGCCAGAATTCGACTCAGACCCTCGAGCCGCCTACTTCAGGCAAGCTGAGTACGGCATGTACGTTCGGATGGCTCTACTGTCCATGGTCGCCGGGGTCAATCCTCTAACGTAGTGTAATGGTGCTACATAATATAACGCATGACATCATAATTATATTGTTTCCTAATCAGCGGTAATTAATCTCTGAGTCAGTCTTATTTTTTGGAAAATGGTTTTCCGTTCGATACGTAATCAAAAGCTGAAATTTATCTTAAATCAGAAGCTTTATGTTTACCGACATTTTATGTTAATGAACCGTATCGGCGATTACGCTTCTCTATCTAACTACTTATTGTTTGTCATGTGATACGAAGCGACCAGATTCAACTTAATGATTACATTTCGCTGAACACAATTATATTGTAACCTACCAATATCAATATCTGTCGGATATAAATAAAAATAAATTTAAGTGATAATCAGATACTTTATTTTTCTTATGTATACAATACCTTACTTAAGCAAATTATAATACACATTGAATAATAAAAGTATTCAGTAAAACTGTCATATGTACATTATTTTCCATAATACAATTATTAATTTATTACAACCAACAACGACACAAACAAATAACACGAGATTCCATTTATAAACAAGACAACATCACACCTTTTATTCCTCGAATGGGCAGACAGAGGTGTTTATATTATACGTATTCCATATACATATTAATTAATTAAGAAAGTACCTACAGCTAATTCCGAGAGTCACATAACAATTTAGAAAACATTTTCCATCAATTCTTCGAAATCTTATTTCAGTTGTATTATTTCTTCTTTTGACTTTTTTCAGTAAAGAAAAGAATCTGAGATAGTATTGATAGTTACAGAAACTACGTCATTATTTCTTTAAATTGTATGTCTATAACTTAGATTCCTCGCCATTGGTAAATACATTTAATTTCATGTGATCGTATGTTGAATTTTCAACGTGCACATCGACAAAAGTAAATGCTGGGATACCAGGACTATCAGCAGAAGAATCTGGGATGTCTTCAAACTTTGGTCGCTGCTTGCGGTGTCGTTGTGGTTTACGATTACGATTAATTTCAGGCTTCTGAGGTAAATAGCTTTGCTGTACCAGTTTTCTTTGACAGTCAACCAATTTTTCTCTAATGACTCTCAGATATTCCTTGGCTGTCGAATCACTTCCCGGTTCTTCCGATAGCAATATGCAGAGTCTTTGCGCGTGTTCCAAATATATTAGTGCTTGCCTTATTGCTTCGAACTTTTCACTGGACCGAGCCATTGCGATAAAGTGAGGAATGAAGAATTCGAGAACAAGACGTCGTCGTATCGGATCCATATTTTGTGGTATTGTATACTGAAAAACAAAGTATTCTATTACTATTTTGTTATACGTCTAAATAATTGTCTCTCTAATTGATTTGTATTTAGTACTGGGGATTTAGAGAAACCAACATTTTATGCATATTTCTCTTATCACATAGGACTAATAACGTGACTTATAAGAAACTAGCGACCCGCCCCGGCTTCGCACGGGTGCAATATGCATGTATTATACATACAAACCTTCCTTAAGAATCACTCTATCTATTAAAAAAAACCGCATCAAAATCCGTTGCGTAGTTTTAAAGATCTAAGCATACATACGGACATACAGCGAAAGCGACTTTGTTTTATACTATGTATTGATGATACAATGGGTGATGCATAGTATGTACAATTATGCCTACATATATAGGTAATAACATATAAATAATGATAAACTACAATTATAATTTATTGGTTGCTTACCTGTTTCCATGCGTCTTTTTGTTCTCTTATTGGCACCTTGGGTTTTTTCTTTTCTTCAGCCTTTTTATGCGCCGCTTTACGCCGTTTATAATCTCTGTCATTAGCTTTGGCTGCCTCCCAAAATCCATTTTCAGTTTCGCTCTCTGAACTATCTTCATACTTAGAGGGAGTAACAACTTTAGGTAGATTTGGATTAATCAGACGCAAAGGATCCTTGCAAGTTAGTATTTGAAAGAGTTTTTTACATTGAAATTTTGGATAGAATTCTCTCTTAGTGTATTTTATTTTATTAAGTGCGTGTAGCATATGCAGCACAGGAGACTCGATGATCTTTGCTAAGCTGTTTTGTTGTTCACGTAACAAGGGATCCGGTATACTTGCAATTTCATTACAGCTGTCTATAAAATAATTTGGCATTATTGTTTTGGATAAATTCCTGTATAAATCTTTTAGGAATTCCAACAAAACTGTACCAAGTTGATCTTCTGGCCACCTTGCATAATTGTCTTCACATTTCCAAAACAGATGATTTTTAATATGACTTGCATCTAAACCAATTTTAGCAGTTTCGTTTTCCATAAAAGCCTTGTGCAACGCCAAAGTAAATAGATAGCAACGAATGTGAGAATGTGCTAGACAACTTTCTAGGTAGCGTTCTACTGCAGGAAATATTAATTTCCATTGCAAAGGTTGATTAGGATTTAGACCTCTTTTAATTCTTTGCCCTATTGGTACCAATAAACATCCAAATCCTATAGCTTTGGTCACCTTCTCTTTGTCAGGCCATTGGTACCTGTTATTATTTCTTGGATTTTGTAT